GAATAATAAATGTACCCATATTCATACATATGTAAATGATTAGTAAGTCTATGGTTTGGAATTTTAATGTAAACCCAGCTTAAATTTAACACTGTAAGTATATCTATTACATGGAACTTATTTACCCTATAATAACCAAGTGAAAGGGCCGGTAAGCTGGAGTTGAAAGCAACTGGCTTGTCTCTTTCTCCATCCATCATACATTTCACATTAGAAACTTGAAATGAAAGAAAATCCTAAACATAAAACACTTTCATCAATCATGAAACAGTCCCCTTTCTCACAGAAATAGTAACATCATAAAATTTTGCTTTAATTAATAATGCAGAGAAAATTAACCAAAAGAAAAATTTTGGAAAAGCTTAATTTTTACATAGATTGCTGATAATTTTAGGAGTTGATTAAATAAGATAACTATTTTAAATATTAAAGAATACTCTTAAAAATATAATAGAACTAGACTTAAATCATCTCACTCATTTCCTATCTTAGGGTAAAAATGTTTTTGTGAGATTGGGAGAATCATTCAAATATTTAATCCGTGTGTGTGTGTATATATATTTTTCTTCCCTACTATCCACACACTTTCCTGTAAAAATTCAGCAGTATTAAATTCACCTAAACTTCACAGACTCACCAAAAGTGTCATTAGAAAACCACCAACTAATCCCTAGATATTACTAAATTTCTCCTTCACTAACTCTAGTCATTACCTTCTTATTGGGCCAAATCTTGAGAATATTATTTCCAGATCCTCATCTGTAGTCACTGGATTCAATTTACACACAAACAGCACATTTTCTGGTGGTTTAATATCGGCATCAGGTAGGTCTCCCACCTAAATTATAAATAAGCAAGAATACAAATCAAGTCCTCTATTTAGTTTCCATTCTAAACACTGCATCCAAGCCTTCAACACTGATGTCCCTAAAACATCTAAATTTATGCCATAAACCACTACAGGCTCAGGAAAAGAAATTTAAAGATTTGAAAATCTGAAACTATACATTCTTGCTATAACAATATTAATGGCTAATAATTACCTAATCCATGCTTTGTGCAAACATTATATGTGAACACTTCAAATGCATTACTGCTGATTTTTTTTTTTTTTTTTTTTTGCAGTTTTAGGAACTGAATCCAGGGACTTCCCATTGAGCCACACCCCCGATCCCTTTTTTATTTTTTCACTTTGAGACAGCATCTCACTAAGTCATTAAGTTGCCTGCACAGTGCTCAAAATTGCGATCCTCCTGCCTCAGCTTCCCAGAGTGCTGGCATTAGAGGCATGTGTCATTGTGTTCAGCTCCATTACTGCTAATTCTTAAACCAACCCTGCAAAAAGTACACCAGGAGTGGGATTTAAACCCAGATCTGTCTTCAAAAGACCCACTTTTAATTACTTTTTCTTTTTTTCAAATATTTTATATTTTTTGAAAAAGAATTTATGTAAAGTATATCTAAATTAATGAAGCAATAAAATAAAAACCACCTAACATAAGAATATATTCCTCAATCCTGTTATTTCTCTGCCTCCCTCACCAGAGATTATAAATATCCAGCTCTTTTACCTTCCTTTTAGGCTAATTCTCTTGCATACCTTTTTTTTGGTACCAGGAATAGAACTCAAGGCCTTGCACTTGCCAGGCAGGCGCTGTGCCACTGAGCTACATCCCTGGCGCTCTCTTGCATACCTTTAGAATTTTACCATATATATGCATTCCTAAGTAACTTACTGTGCAGTTTTGCTTATTTTTTGAACTTTTGAAAAACATCATACTGAATCTAGCTTTCTGTGATGTGTAATGTCCGTTCCACATTATTGTTCAGTATGGAACAGCTGCCAGGCATGGTGGCGCACACCTGCAATCCCAGCACTGAGGCAGAAGGATTGCCATGAGTTCAAGGCCAACCTGGGCTATGTAGTGAGACCCTGTCTCAAAAAAAAAAAAAAAAAGGGTGGGAACAGTGACAATTCCTGGACAGTGTTTCTAGAATTTTTTTCTTAAATTCTCAACCTCTGGCCTTCTACTTTAACCAAACTGAAGTCAACTTCACAAGTCAATTACTATACTAAATAAACAGTGCATAAGAGCATACTACTTTCTACTGAAGAACCAGTGAAGGAATAGTGAGAAAAAAAACCAGGATAATAATATTGCTTTCACTGTGGAAAAAAAAAATTTTTCACAAGCCTTTAGATGGAAGCAATAATATTCCTATACACATATTTTCAAAAACTCTCAGAGAAGATTTCTGACAAGATTATCATATAAAGTGTCTCCTCCTGAATAAATGCAGCAGAAAGAAAATCTTGAAAATCAAACAGTAAGAAGCTACAGAGCCAGTAAAGATGTGCTCAGTGTTTCTACAGTCTATCAAAAGAAAACAATAACCTATGTTCAATAAAAAGTATCACATATGGGCAAGGTGGCACATCCCTGAAGTCCCATGTACTTGTAAGGCTGAAGTAGAAGGATCACTTGAGCTCACAAGTTTGAGACTAGCACATACAACATAGTGAGGCTTCATCTCAAGTTCAAAAATAAAAATATATATCTTTGTGCAGTGGCAATATCATACCCAATGAGATTTACCTGAGGTGCAATTATTGCTGATTGAAAAAAAAAAGTATTACAACACAGAAGGGAAAGAGCAAGTCAGTAAAAATCTCCAAAAGTACCATAATGGCAGCAAGGAAGATTACAGAACAAAAAAGTTAATTTGCTAAGAAAGAACTTGCTAATACAATTTAATAACACTTATGAGGTTCAAAACAAATATTACAAAATACTAGTTGAATTATCCTGTCACAAACAAATAGCAGTAAGGTTGTACAGCAAGAGAAACCACCAACAGGGTGAAGAGAAAACCCACAGAGTGGAAAAAAATTTTTACCAGCTACTCAGATAAAAGACTATTACCTAGAATATCTCAAGAACTCAAAAAAATCATACCACCAAATTTAAAGACCCACTGGAAAAATGGGCATCTGAAGTACAGGCACTTCTCAGACAAAGAATTAGAAACAGCAGATAAATATATGAAAAAGTGTTCAACATCACTGGTCATTTGAGAGATGCAAATTAAAACAATGCTGAGATTCCACCTCACCTCAGAAAGAATGGCTGCTATCAAGAAATCAACTAATAACAAATGCTGGAGGGGCTGTGGGGAAAAAGGAACGCTTCTTCAGTGCTGGTGGAAGTATAGACTGGTGCAACCACTGTGGAAATCAGTGCAGAGATTTCTCAAAAAACTAAAACTAGAGGTTCCATTTGACTCAGCTATACCTCTTCTTGGTATATTCCCAAAAGAATTAAAAGCATCATAACACAGCAATATATACACATTCATGTTTATAGCAGCAGTTTGTAATAGCTAAATCTTGAAAACAACCCAAATGCCCATTAACAGATGAGTGGATAAAAAAGATGTGGTTTTTTTAATACAATGGAGTACTACTCTGCCATAAAGAAAGGTGAGCTTCAGACATTCTAGCTAAATGGATGGACCTTGAGACCATACTCGTAAGTGAAATAAATGGGACACACATGTTTAAATACTACATTGTTTCTCTGGTGTGAGAAACCAAAAGTGGAAATAAAGACTTAGATGTATGGGGCCAGGGATTTAGCTCAGTGGTTTCGCCGCCTGCCTCGCAAGCACAACGTCCCAAGTTCGATCCCCAGTACCAAAAATGAAACAAAGACTTAGATGTATAATAGATGGGAAACGGAAGAAAGTGTTCAAATGGGAAGGGGAACAAGGGAGGAGGGAGGGAGAAAGGAAGGAAGGGACAAGAAAAGAAGTGAAAATAGAAGGAAAAAATGGTAAAGCTTTTGTACGTAGGGAGGGGAGAGGGTTGGGGGGGTGGGATAAAATACAAATACAAATAAGGGAAACTGACCTTAAAAAACAGAAGATGAACCTGTTAATAGTGAGAAGCAGGACACAGGCTCACCTATTATAATGGCTAAAATGCAAAGCACTGACATTAAAAGTTAACAAGGATGTGGAGCAACAGGAACTCTCATTCTTTGCTGGTGAAAATGCAAAAGGTACAGCCACTGTGGATAGTTTGGCACTTTCTTACAAAGCTAAATCATACCATATAGCAACTGCGCTCCTAGGTATTTACCCATGTATGTTAAAACTTTCTGACCCCACAAAAATGTACACATTGGGCTAGGGATTTAGCTCAGTGGTTCTGCTGCCTGCCTCGCAAGCGCAAGGACCCGAGTTCGATCCCCGGTACCAAAACAAAAAAAAAAACAAAAAAAATGTACACATAAATATTTATACTTTTATCCATAATCGTCAAAACCTTGAGGCAAACAATATATCTTTTAATAGGAGAATGGATAAACAAACTCTGGTACATTCACACAGCAGAATATTAGCTATCCAAGAAAGGAGCTGTCAAGTTATATCATGAAAAGACACAGCAGAACCTTAAATGCGTACTGCTGAGTAAGACAAGCCACTCTGGGAAGGTTACAAATTATATGACTCCATCTCTATGATATTTTAGGAAAAATGTAACTATGTAGACAGAAAGATCAGTGGTTGGCAGGGACTAAACTGAGGGAGTTGGGGCAGGTGGTATAGGGGATGAACTATGTACTGTGCAGCCCAGCAGATTTTAGAGCAGTGAACTATTCTGTATGATCCTGTTAAGTGGATATGGATACATATTATTACATATTTGTCGAATCCATAGAATTTACAACACAGGAAATTATTTTTACTGTGAACTATGGATTTTAGTTAATTATAACAAAACTAGCTCATTAACTGTAACAAATGTACCACATTTACGTGTCAATGGGGGAAATAGGGGAGGGTGGGAGGGGATTCATAAGAGCTCTATACTTTTTGATCAATTTTTTATATGTCTAAAATTGCTCTAAAAAATTCTACTGAAAATAAAGCAAAAAATAATACATGAGTTCACATCAATAATGGGTAAGTAGATTAAGAAAATAAGAAAAGACAGCTCTTCCTTAGAGTAACACGTGGGCTGGTAATGGTAGAAAGAGTTCTGAAGTTAGGAAGTTATCATTTTGCACCCATCAGAGTCAAGACTAGTTCAGGCAAGAATCATGACTGGCTGAGAAATCTAGGAGAAGAATTTGACTGGGAACAAAGTAGTTGAATATTTTCAAAGTGCCTTGCCCCAGATTATTGATTGCAAAGGGAAAAACAGAAATTGTGCAGTAGAGACTACATGAAGCCCAAGCGACCAAAATTATCATATTCAGTGTTGAGGATATAGCTCAATGGCAGAGTGTTTGCCTAGCTTGCACAAGGCCCTGGGTTTGATCCTCAACACAGAAGATCTGAGGGAGGATCATCTTCCAGTAAGGTGCAGATGTATTTGTATGAGTCCAGATGTGACATCTGAGAACACAATATCACCCATGTATCATTTTGGCTGTGGGTGCATAGTTTGAATTTAATAATGAAGCAAGAGGAGAGAAACCTAAATTGAAAAATATTCTATAAAGTAAGTTATGTAGGGCTGGGGATTTAGCTCAGTGGTTCTGCCACCTGCCTCGCAAGCACAAGGTCCCAAGTTTGATCCCCGGTACCAAAAAGAAGTAAGTTACATGTATTATTAAAAAATGTTGGGCCAGGGATTTAGCTCAGTGGTTTCGCCGCCTGCTGTGCAAGCGCAAGGACCCAAGTTCAATCCCCGGTACAAAAAAAAAGTTAAAAAAAATATGTTAATGTCATGAAAAATAGAAGTTAAGAAACCTTTCCAGATAAACAGACTATAGGAGACATGAAAACGAAATTCTACTAGACTTGAAGGAGGAAAAGCTATAAAGGATATTAATGAAACAACTGGCAAAATTAGAATATTAAACTAATTCAGCCGAGTATGGTGGCACATGCCTATAATTCCAGCACTCAGGAAGCTGAGGGAAGAGAAAGACTGTGAGTTTGAGGTCGGTGAGTTCAAGACTCGCCTGAACTACATAGCCATACCCTGTCTCAAAAAAACCAAAAAAATAAGAAAAATAAACTAATTTGAATTTCCTGATTTTGATAACTGTACCATAAATAGGTAGGATATTGTTGCCCTTAGGATTCACAGTAACTAAAAAATAAAGGAAAATGATAGGCAACTTACTTTTAAATAGTGAAAAAAATAATGTGTTTATGTGCACATGTAACCAGAACAAAAAAGTAGGTGTAGCAAAATATTAAAAATTGGTGCTGAGGATGTAGTTTAGTGGCAGAACACTTGCCCAGCATGCACAAAGCCCTGGGTTCAATACCCAGCACAAACAAAAAAAAAAAATGATGAATCTGGGTAAAAAGACTAGAAATTTCACAATTTTTTTTTTTTTTTTTTTTGAGACAGGTTCTCTCTATGTAGTCCAGGTGGTTCTGAAGTCACTGTGTAGCCCAAGCTGGCCTCAAACTCATGGCAATCTTCCTGCCTCAGCCTCCCAAATGCTGGGGATTATAGGCATGTACCACCAGGCCCACCTAATCCATTTTCTTTTCTGGTAATAAACTTCTTAAATTTCTGCTCTTGAAAAGAACAATAATCTAGTAATACTTCTTTTATTAGTCTCTTGCTCTTTTGCACTACTGCACAAAAAGATCTTTCTTCTAAACCCAGTAATTTTCTCAAAATTTGTCTTGGTATTGGTTTTCTGGGTTAATATTCTTAGATGTACAGTGTGTTCCTTAAAATGCAATTTTCAGTTTTTATTTCACTAAAGTTTTTGAAATTACAGTCTTTGGTATTTATTTATTTATTTAGACCAGTGATGCTAAATTTCAAAATAGATCACATTAATTATTCCCCTAACGACTTCATACTATTAGTAATATAGAGAAAGCATATTTTAGAGGGCTCATTTTCCACCTAGATATATTTTATTCTTCAACTACTATTCTTCTATGTATTTTTTATTTAGTGGAGCTAGGGATTTAACCTAGGTCCTTGCACAAGCTAAGCACTCTACCACTGAGCTACATCTCTAATCCCTATTCTACCATCTAATCTCAGTATTTGAGTGGCACAATAATATACATAAAATTCAGTCTAATAAATACTTTAAAATTATATGACTATTTAACAACTGAAATTAATATTTACGAATCAGATATCCACTCTCCATTTTTAAAAATGGCACCTGGCACCAAATTTACTCTCATGTGTTATTATGCCTATAAAATTTAATCCAGGAACAAACCCTCTTCATTAAATTTTTTTGTTTTTCTTCATTAAATTTTTACTATTTTGGGCCAGGGATTTAGTTCAGTGGTGCCGCTGCCTGCCTTGCAAGGGCAAGGTTCCAAATTCAATCCCTAGCACCAAAAAAAAAAATTTTTTTTTTTTACTATTTTAAGACAAGAGTCAAAAACAGATCAATTATGTAAAATATGCTACAAAACAACTATCTGAACAAAGATAATTGTCTTACCATCTCTAAAAGAATAGCTTGGGTTTTGGCCTCTTTTTCTGCCTTTATTTCTTCGACTTCTTCAGCTGATCGTCCTTTGAAGTCATCAATTTCTTCATCTGCTCCTATTCGACCACTCTGTAAGGCAGAATTTACTGATGATAAATATCTAAAGACAAGTGCAAGGTCCTGAGTTTGATTCTCAGTATCAAAAAAATTTTTTAAATTTTAAATAAATGCCTAAAGAAAAAAATTTAAAAACTTGGAAGACATCATGCTTTATTCTTACTTTCACCAAATACATTTGAATAGCAACTGAAATAATTTAAAAACCACTGAAAATTGATTTAAATTAATTATATACTAGCCAGATTGGGCTTCTGATTTATTATAAAATCAAAATCAACATTTACATAGCTATTATCTGTTATTCAATCAAGTACTGAGAGGAGAAGATAAATGATCTTAAAAGTCCACACTAATCTCAACCATAAACTCATCTTTGAGAAAGTCTTACAGGCAAAAATTATTAAAATATCTGGGGAGGGCCGGGGATTTAGCTCAGTGGGTCCGGTACCTGCCTCAAAAGCGCAAGGTTCCAAGTTCGATCCCAGGTACCAAAAAAAAAAAAAGATATCTGGGAAAACAGTATGTGCTGTTCCACAGAGAAATGTCTGGATTCTAGCCTGACTCCAAAGTATCCCCAGTTGAAAAGTTCTCTCACACGATGATAGTTTAGTTTGGTTTTGAAGCTATTCACTTAACTAGAGTTAGGTGGTAAAACTTGTTCTACTATAATTGATCAAGCAAGATAATCACTATGAAGAAGTAAGTTATAGTAACTACAAGCTAAGTCATTACAAGTTGTTAATATACATGTACATTCAATTAGAAGAAGACTTTACTTACATCTAATTGTTCTCGTGTGGGTTCTGGTGATCGATCAGGAATTAATAAATCAGGAGGGTCATCAAATGGATCATCTAAAATCACTGTATGATTTATCCTTACAAAATAAATCCATGTCAAATATTAAATTTATTTCAGAATCCATATTTTATTTTCCTGTATTATAAAATATAAGTATCCCTAATGCCAAAAAAAACCCTGCAAATGCACATAGATATTACTAATCTACAGTATACTTTTACGAGTATTACCGTTGTTTAATATTATAACTTTCCATTATCTTAAGATATAAATGTCTGAATCTTAGTACTTTTGACAAACTTCTCAATAATCTGCATTTCAAAAACTAAAACATTAATAATTTCTCCCAACATAAGCAATTACAAATAATTAGTACAAGTATAAAATAAAATATTTTTATAGAGATTATCATCTTGTATTAATTCACTTTTCTTTTTTTTTTTTTTTTGAGAGAGAAGGTCTCACTATGTAGTTCAGGCTGGCCTTGAACTCACTATGTTGCCCAGGCTGGCCTCATACTCAAAGCAATTCAACTGCCTCCACTTTCCAAGAGGTGGGATTATAGGTGGGTACCCCCACACTCGGCTTAATTCACATTTTAGAATTCTTCAGAAACTAGTCCTATGCATACCAGTCTCATCCATGACACTACATATCAAAACCACACTATTGCGGCCAGGGAGTTAGCTCAGTGGCAGCACGCCTGCCTCTCAAGTGCAAGGTCCTGAGTTAGATACCCGGTACCGGAAAAAAAAATTTTTTTAAAACCACAGTATTAAGACATTCTAGTACATGCAAGATAGTAAATTGTAATCACACCTGATATCTTGATATGGTACAAAATCCTTGTCAACAAAGGTCTCATTAATTTTCTTAATTATGTCCATGCCTTCTGTCACCTCACCAAACACTGTATGAACACCATCAAGGTAATCTAGATTTTCTCCTGTAGTAATAAGAAACTATACAAAGAGACACATAATACTGTAAATATTAAAAATATATACAACTTTGCCAGGGATTTAGCTCAATAGCACCATGCCTGCCTCTTAAGTGCAAAGTCCTGAGTTCGATCCCTGGTACCACCAAAAAAAAAAATACAACTCTAAAATCACTGATAAACTGGTAAGAAATACACAAAAGCAAGACTCTACATTTATTTGCCAATTCTTACATACTTGTTACTAGGATTAAATAAAATCACAGACTTTATATATAAAAAACCAACACGTACAGATATTCCTGATTGTTTAAAACACTTGGGCAAATCATGGCCCAGGTTCCTCAGACAGAGTGGAAAAAGCACCTACCCTAACAGAGCTGTTGTGAGGATTACACAACACAATGAATTTAAGGTACTCAATATAATCTGTTTTAAAATAAGTAGTAAATATTTAAAAGTAAACAGTCCACAGATGAGAACAGTATACTCCTAAGTAGTGAGATTGTACTTAGTAATATTTTCTTCTTTGCCTTTTTCTGTATTTTCTAATTTCCTCACAATGGGCTTGGCTTACATTTACAAGAAAATCAAGTGTAGGGCCGGGGATTTAGCTCAGTGGTTCTGCTGCCTGCCTCGAAAGCGCAAGGACCTGAGTTTGATCCCTGGTACCAAAAAAAAAAAAAAAGAAAATCATGTGTTTTGTTTCATTGTATAGTGCTGGGGATTGAACCTAGGGCCTTGCACACAGTAAAGCACATATTCTACCTCTGAGCTACACCCCCAGACCTATAATGCTTTTAAATATAGAAAAAAGTACAATTTTTTTCCTCCTAAAAATATCTTTGACTACATTTTCTCATTACTACATAATTAAAAAGAAAACTTTGTAGGTTCCTTCCAGTGCTTCATTTATAAACAAAGCTTACACCCATTTTCTAACCTGAGATCCATGCTGATCACTTCCATTGTTCACCATGGACACCGTGCCTTTCTTCTTGTGCTTAATTCTGGGCACCTTTTCCGCCTCAAAAAAGCTTGCCTGATCTCCATACAGCTGACTGAAATTACAGTAAGGTTATAAAACATAGGTACTCTCAAAATACAGAAGTATTGTAATATACAGTTTAGCAACTATTTATAGAAATATTACTTTGATTCAAAATATCTCATTTTTGATACAAACATTTAGGGAGCTGGGGGAAAACCCCAGTTGAAATGTATTTTAAAATGATAAACCATAGGAGTTCTATTTTTCTTCAATTAAAAATAAAAGAACTTACCCAAAAATAGACTCTCCTCCACGGCCAGTACCCGTAGGATCACCGGTTTGTATGATAAAATCCCTCTATAATATACAGAATTCTTTATTAATTCACAGAATTTGCTAGATGGTTCTAAAAACAAACGACATAACTAATATCTACCAACTCACCTGTACGTTGTGAATAAGGCAGTAATTGTAATATTTTATTTTGCACAACTTCAGGAAATTCAAGCAAGCTGAAAGAAAGTAAACACTAAATTTATTATAGTAATCTACAAATTCAATTTTAAACAAGCAAAAGCAGTTAGTATAATTTAATCTCTAAATTATTAAAAGAGAAGCAAAAAATAGTCAAATGTATAAAGCCATTAAAAATGGAATGACGAGTTCGATCCCCGGCACCAAAAAAAACCCAGGGAATGAGCCTTTAAAAAGGCAACATTTTAAATTATCTGTTTATTTTCTTTATCTTATGACTTTTAGAACATCTGGACTTATGCAGAAAATTGGTTATTTATCTTCATGAGATAAGCAATCATTTGATGGCTTGGCTTTATTAAGTGAAAAAAGGACAATTAAAGAGGGCACTATGATAGGAAAAGACCTAGCAGAATATATGAAAATGGGTACACATTATATAAATTAAATCAAACATCTAGGGACAATTTTTTTACAATGATTAAAAAGTAAATCACAAAAATCCATAATTAGGGGTCAGTGCTGGGGATTGAACCCAAGGCCTTTGCACTGAGTTACATCCTCAGATTTATTTTTATTTTTTATTTTGAGGTCTCACTGAGTTACTAACTTGTCTAGGCTGGAATTTGAAATTTCAATTCTCCTGCCTCAGCCTCCCTGAGTGCTGGGATTACAGGTATGCACCACAATGCCCAGCAAAAATCTGTATTTACTGAAAACAAGCTTTCTCATATAAATTCATTCACTTAATTCACAAACATTTACTGTGTACATTCCAGATGCTTGGCAGTGCCATCACAAATCCCATAAGCCATGGTCTTTGGCCTCTACTGATTCACACACTGACTTAAGGCATGAAGTTAGGAGCCAGACAGTAAGATAGATGAGGCAGTCATCTATCTATCTTAGTTCCTCATCTTAGTCCCCTCAAGGAACTTTTATTAAACTAGGTTACTTACAACTGAACATAAACAGTTACAATAGGTATATCTAATGATACCATTTGTGCCACTTAAGTAGTAAAATGGTAAAAAGTAGTTTTTGAAGTGCCACAAGAGTTCAAAAGAATGCTTCCAGCTGAGGGAAATTAGGAGACCTCATGGAAGCCTACAGTAAACATCAGAAGAATTGGACTGTA